GCCGGTCGCGGGACCTTGTGTGAAGTGAACGAGAACGAGCGGAAAGGTTCCAACCGAGACCGGCACGGACCGCTCCAAAACTAGGGATGGTCCCTTCTTTTTCTCCGCATAAAATATCCTGCTAGGCGGCAGTGCTTGCTGGGCTCTGCCGACCGCACCCAGCCACACCCACACCCACTAATTAGCTTCAAATCAGTTTTTTTTAGCTTTTGGCTCAAAAAAACAGCTCTACGAGTGAACTGAATCTGTTTTGGTAAATTATTTGGCAAAATAACTTCTCTTTATTATTGAAAAAGAATCAAATACACATAATGCCTTTTCATTTTCATTCTTTACGTTAAAAAAATTATTTTTTTCTTTCTTCTTTTCTCTATTTGTCCCTATCTTATTTCTATTATCTTCTCTCTTCTCTCTCCAGGTTATCTCTGCTTCTCCCCGCCGCTGCACCGGGCCGGATGAGGTGAGTAGAATTCACGCGTAAGCCCTCACGGTGGTCATGGGCCTGGAGTGCACGGCACGGCCCAGCTTAGAATCTCCTTTTTCAATTTTCTCACAAGATCGGCGCCCGCTGCGACGCGGACTGCGCCGGCGGTGCTGAGTAGGAATCGACGTTCACCCAGAGCAGCGAGAGCACGGACACGAAGAGCGCCGACCATAGCACGGCGATGGTGGGTGCCCTCCTGTCCCGGCGCGCAAGGAGGCCCCTGAAAAAGCCCTGCAGGTGCGCCACCACCCACCCGGCGAGAGCTAGCTTCACGAGGACCGGGCCCCACGATTGGTACCCGTGGTCCACCCCGTACGACACGGCCACCACCACGCCGGCGAGGTTTCCCAGCAGCAGACTCGCCGGCGGGATCAGCAGGTTCGACCACCGCAGCACGGACTTGCGCGCGTCGGAGGGCTCCTCGCCGCCGGCGCCATTGTCGTCATCCGAGGTCGACGACCGCCTCCTGGTCGCCGTCTCCCTTGAGGTGGAAGAGAAACCGACGTCGACCCCGGCGCACGAGCGGAGGATGCCCTGGAACACGGCCGCAAGGCACGCCGACGTGCCGGTGACAACCCAGAGCTTCTGGTCCCGCCACCACGCGCGCAGCGTCACGCCGCTCCACCGAAGCTCCAGCGCGACCGTGGCCACCACCGAGGACAGGAGCAGGATGAGCAGGATGGCGTCGTAGTATCCCACGTCGTCCGGGAAGATGGACTTGCCGGTGAGGAGGCAGGCCGCCGGGAGCGCGCAGTAGACGGTGAGCGGGAGGGATGCCAGCGGGTAGGCGACGCAGCTCACGTAGCCCAGCCGCTGCATGAACCGCAGGCGCCCGCCAGCGCCGGCCCAGACGGGGCAGTGCCGGCTCAGCAGGACGCCCATGGCCGCGACCGCTCGCTGCGACGCCCCGGCGAGGACATCAGAGGGGCTGGCACGCGCGAAGCTCCGGAACGCGGTCCGCGCCGGCGCGCAGTACGCTGACGCCCACCCGCGCGCGTGCATCCTAAACCCCGTGACCACGCCGCCGCCGCCGCCGCCAGAACCGTACATCCAGCCAACGTCTTTGCCCCACCTAGTCCGCTCCTCGTACGCGCAGCTGACGACGTGGATGGCCTCCCTGAGGAGTGAAGAAGCGTCTGAGGCCGTGGACGAGTCGCCGCTGCCGCCGCCGCCGCGCTCTTGGCTCGCGAACGCTGACGCGATGAAGGCCGGTGAATGGCCGAAGTGCCGCTCCAATGCGGCGCGGTAGGAACGCAGCCTCCGCCTTCTTCCTGCAATGCCAACGGTTAGTACTCCGAGCAGGTCAGCACTGATAACGAATGAGAATTGCTAGCTTCCATCAACGTGCCTGCTTCGGTCAGCTCGTTGGTGTCCTCCGAGTCAAGCAGAGGCACGGTGGACATGGTCCTCCTCAACGCTCGCTTCTTTACCTTCCCGAACCACCACCTGCTCCGGTGCGCCGGCGCGTCCTCCTCGTCGTCTTCAGAGAACGCGGGATCGAACCCGTACAGCGCCTTCCTGTTGAAGCAGCAGCCGGAGCCGACGTACACCGGGCCCTGGATGCCGTCCAGGCACTTCATGTCGATCTGAACCCCAGCGCCACAAAATCAGGCGTTACACGAATGACGAGTCGGAGATAGGAGCCGTGGCGGACAGCGCTCCAGTGTGCAAGTAAGCTTTGATCACTTACGTCGAAGAAGACAGAGTCGCGAGTCGCATGCCGCTCGGCACCGTCGCCCTCGACGCCGATCCTCAGCGGGAACTGGACGAAGCACGTCCTGTTGCCGGCCTCAGGGTCCATGAGGAAGCACATTGCCTCCCTGAGGACGCCGCTGTTGGCGACGCAGTAGTCGTGGTCCAGGTTGAGCACGTACGAGCCGTTCGTTAGCAGAGCGGACACCCGGAGCTGGCGAACAAACAACTCAGAAAACCAGCGCAGGTTGCAGCGGAAGAACAGACCCACGACGGCGAGATGCTGGAGACACGTACCAGGGCGTTGAGGGCGCCTGCTTTGGTGTGATGCTGGAACCCCGACTTCTTCTCCCGCGACACGTAGAACAGCCGAGGCAGATCGTTCCCCGCGGCGTCCTGATCGCCGGGGTGCCCCAGAAGAACCTGGACACCATGAACCAAAACTCCATCAGACGTCTCGCTGGCACCTTGGGGCGAGGTGCAGCAGAGACTACTCTTTCTTTGACCTGTATCATGGCAGGATGGTCTCTCGTGTTGTTCCCGGGCCACAGCGTGCCGTCCGACATGACCCACCCGTCCTCCGGCACCTTCCGCGCCTTCGCGGCGAGGTAGCTCATCCTCACCTTCAACTCCTCGTACGCCCTCTGCAACACAGCTAATTACTCACGATCAGCTGGGTCAAGTCAATCTCCTCGGCTGACCTATCAGTGATGAGTGATCGATCACCTTCATGGCGCGGCGTTCCTTGACGAACGACGGCGCGGCCCTGTCCCTGAGGTAGTCGACGCCACGGGCGAAGTAGAGCTCGGGCGCCCTCGGCTCCACGGCGTGACGCCGGCAGAACGGCACCCACCGCCTCGCGAACCCGGCGGCCTCGAACAGTGCCTCGAACAGCAGCATGTCCGCGCCGTCGTCGGACACGTAGCAGGCCAGCCTCCGCGCCGGGTAGTCCGCCGCGAGCACCGACAGGACCGTGTTCGCCGTCGCCAGCGGAGGCTCCCTCCTCGCGCCCGCCGCTGTCACGAGCACGTCCACGCTGCTAAGCCGCGACGGCTCGCCTCCCTCGCCGTCCCTGTCGTCGTACCTTGATGCCAGCCTGTCGAGGTGCGTCTCGCGGTTGGTCGGGGACAGCTTCGGGAGCTGCGCGACGAGCCACGCGACGGCGAGCCACAGCTCGCAGACGAGCGCGGCCAGCCAGAGCCAGGGCGCCCCGCGCGCCGGGTGGGTGACGCGGTACCGGAAGAAGGCGGCGAGGAGGACCAGGCGCAGCGCGACGGCCGCGCGGTACAGGTTGAGCTCGGCCGGCGGGATGGGCAGCTTGTCGCTGAGAGCCTCAGGCTCAGGTGGGCCGTCACTGTCACCTTCCCCGCTGCAAATTCAGACATGGCGAAATATGGTAAGGCCCAGTTCGGCACGCACAAATTCTACACCAGGATTGCAGTGCCCCCATGCTCTAATCTAATCTAATCTTGCCAAAGAGGCAAAGAAACTAAATTTTTTTGTTGGTGACAGGAAACAAACCAAAACTTGATTTTCAATACAAAAGGTGATCCTGCGCGAGAATGAAATGAAATTGATACGTCGTGCATTTGCAACGGCATTGAAATGGGTGGTGCGGAACTGATGAAATAGCAAGAGTTAGGACATGCCAGTAGTCACCTTTCTGAAGATTCAGGCTCCTGGTCGGGGTCCGCATCCAGAGCCGGGGAGTTGACAGGCACGATCTCTGGGCTATCTTCGTCCATCTTATCTTGATCGTAACTAGTAACAGGCGAACAATTCAGTTTATTCAGAGTGAAATGTGCACAGTGCACATGTCATGGTTTCTCCTCAGTAATAAACCATTTGATGCAGTAGAAGAAAACGAAAAGTGTCTCGATACGAAGAAGTCTCTTTTGTTCTCTCCCATCCATTCCTTCGTCTTCATCATCAAATCAGACGCAAGACCCCAGATAATTCCGTTCCAGACATCTGGCTGGGAATGGGAGCGACAAGATTTGGGTCGTTCCTGCGATGTTTGCGAGGCGGGCTCAGTGGAAGAAACGACACGGCAGGACAAAACTACCTTTTGTGTGCTAGCTGCAACAGGCATAGCTGTGCCTGTGGTGGCAATGGTAACAGACAGGGGGTGAGCTAGTATTTGCCGAGGAATCAGAGTCCGCAGCATCTAACTTGTTCCTGTGTAAACCTAAGCAAACATCTGGTCAACCGTGATGTTGGCACGAGAATGAACTAGACCGTGACCCCGTCCATAGCCGGCCCAAGAAAAGGCCGTAAGGCCGTAAGCCTGCAAGTGTCGCACATTTCAGTTTCAAACACGTGAACACTTAAACAAATAGTAAGGCTGATTCTTATTTTCAGTTTTATAACTAGCAACGGCGTTCCATCAAGGATCAATAACACTAACTAAAATGTGCCATCTGAAATTCACATGATCTGCACGTTTGTACAGCCGTACAGGTGACACAGAAATTCAGAATTCAGACCATGAGACAAACCTAGTTACAGTACATTTGCACCACGGACTTGCGCTGTGTCCACGCCGCGTTGCGTACAGTCTACACGAAGACGGAGGGCCGAGTTACAAGTTGGCAACACAATTGCATACATACAGCTAGAGAAGTTTCGATCCAGAGCGGACTGAACACGTGCATATGCAGCACAATGTCCCTGTGAAGGATATGAGACTGTCAACTAAATAACGAGCTTGATTGATCAGGTGAAGAGCCAATTCAAATTTATACTACTAGCTCTCGATCGGTATTTCCTTGTTTTAATTAATTTCTTCGAAATGTAACCGGTTCTAGTCTTCTATAGGCGACAGCTATTGACTGTCTCCACCGGCACTGCTGCCACCTGGGCCTCCTCTTCTGTTTACAGTGGTGTTCTTCAGTATCTGCAGGCAGGAAAATCAAATTACAATCAAAGTCTCAGTTATAAGACAGAAAACAATGTTGGAACATCCCCGTTAGGTCACTCTAACTTTATCCTAAGTTAAACTTATCTAACCTTGACCAAATTTGTAGAAAAAACACACTATGCACTACCAAAATATATTTTGTGGTGTATATAATAAATCTTGTTTGATTTCTTCGATATGTGTGTATTTTTTTTAAATTATAACAAAATTAGAGAAGTTTGACTTACGATGAAAAAAATTGGACGGCGTATTTTTGTATAAACAAATCTTAAAAGGTACATTTTGAGTTTTTAATTTCATTTTTCATAAGTATATTCCAAATTTCTATGAAATTAACAAGATGCTAAAAGTACTTCGAAATATAAACATATCAATATAATAACTTTTATATGTACTGAACATGCATATAATTTGACTCACGGTTTGGTCAAAACTTGCAATAAGTTTGACATATTTCAACTAAACATATGCCTTTATTACAAAGTGGAGCCACGGAGTACCTCTCTAGTGTTAGACATTTTTTTTGGTTATTAACTACACATGCACATTACTATTCATGAGAGCTAGTGAGCTACTTTGCAGTTGGTTCATTATTCAAGAAATAGGAACACATATGTAATATAACTGTGCTGCGAGTACCTGTCTAAGCATTTGATTTTCGTTCTGCAGCGTGGACAGCCTCTCCTCCAGCTCTGAGTTCCTCTTCTCCAGGTCCTTGACCCTCACCTCCAGCTCGCTCAGGTACGCCTTCTTCCTCTCCCGTGCCTGCTGCGCCGACACCCGGTTCCGAAGCAACCTGATGATGAGTACGAGCATCTTTAATCTGCTCGTGTCCATTGCATTGTTCCAGTTGTCCATTGTGGATATATATAGTTGAGTTCGCGGTGGGCTTATGGCTACGAAAAGGCCCATTTGTCATTTGGGCTGCCCGATATGACATCGCTCTCGCTCCTCACCGTTCCTTAGCAATACGGAAAAGGAAAAAGTCTATCCGACATTCTGGCTCTCTAACTACTACACAATGTTGTCAAAAAAAAAAATACTACACAAGTTTGATTTTCCTCTCAACTAGACAACCGAAGTTTTAGACTTCCTCCTCAACTTTTGAAACCATCCAATGTATCTCTCTTAGCGGTTACGTTAGTCGTCCTGCGCCACGTGAGCCACAAGAGAATTAATCAAACTTTCGCGATAGTTCGGGTAGGTCAATTAAACTTTATCAAAAAAAATTCTAGGAGAAAGCATGTATTTAGAAATATTAAAATCATGTTTAACCTTGGAAAATTCATAGAAATATTGCTTTAACTCAGAAAGATATGAAACTAATTTCATATTTTTCCTAGAATTATGCTATATGTTTTTTTGAGCAGGTAACATAGAGCACGATTTTTAGAGAACACATGAAGCCTGACATCTCGAGCCCAGCCAAACTACATCCTTTGTTTCATATTTGGCAGAGTTTTAGATTTTAGGAGACCATATAAGATTCAAATAATGCTAAGAGCAAGAAACAAAAAGTAGATCATGATTTTATATAAAAAAGATAAAACGGGTTTCCTACTTTTTTTAGCTTAAAAATTTTCTAAGATTAAATAAGATTTTAGTACTTTTAAATACATATTTTTATAAAAAAAGTGTTTGGATAATTTTTTGAAAAAAAATATTTCTACCATTTTATAAAGTTTAACTAACCTCCCTGAACTATCATAGAAGTCTGATTTATCCCCCTTGTGACTGAGGTTGCACTATTTAGGACAACCGAGCTAAAACCGCTTTCAAAACAGTTCAAGAAGGTAAATCGAATGGTTTCAAAAGTTGGGAGAATCTAAAAATCCAGTTTTCTAGTTGAGGAGGAAAATTGAACTTGTGCAATAGTTGAGGAGGCTGGATGGACTTTTTCGTACGAAAAACGAAAACCTTTTCTTTTGTATATATCTTAACAAAAAGTCCTCAACCCATAGGTTTGTGTATTACTACTTATATCTCTTCAGCAACTTAATTATAGTTTTGCCAAATTTATTTTTACTATAATATTTTGTTAGTCAAATGTTTGAAAGTTCATGTCCTGTTTGAATCTACACTAGGTTCCAATTGCTATTTTGTAAAAGCTGGATCAAAAGCTAGCCCTATTTAGACCCCAAGTTGATAAAAGTTAGACCATTTGGATCTCAAGGAATTGTGGAATCTTGGATTCCACTATCTAGTGGGGTCTAAACAGATCCTTAGTTACATATCCATCTTAAACAAATATTTGTGAATAAAGGAGCATTTGACTTGTTATGAAAACTATACATTGGTTTTGGAAAAATATGACGAAGCGCTGTCCTGAGTTAATTAAACATTGAGAGCGTGTAACAAACCGAATAATCTCACAGCACCAAGGACCTAGCCAAAAAGGGACTTATAACACGCAAGAGAGAAACTAAAAATATAGGTAATAACACCAGTTATAAGAAAAAACTAATACATTTCCACCTCACTCTCTCTTTTATACACAGCAGATCGATGTCAGTTGTTAGTATATATATTATCCGATCAAGTTAATGCCTTCTTTGATGAGGTTATTCTCGGTGGAAGTTTCATCCACATTTATAAATGTTGTAATGATGGTATTTCTGATAACATAGTATTATTTTTAAGATGAGACAAAGAAGATGAGATTGGCTCGGTTTTAACTTTAGATGAGTGATGAGTTAAGAAGTTAAATATTATGAAATAACAAATGTAGTAAAACTTTTATATCCATGGTGATAATTTTATCTATATTTTATTGTTATATTTTTGCTGACGTGGTAGACTTAGTAAAGAAAATGGCATAAAGGGAACTTGTATATGTACGTACGTACTACTGGCATCTGCTAGTATCTGCGTACGTGAAACACCGCCTTTAATTAGGTCTAGCACTCTACTTACTAGTTACTACACCGACACCAAAAGCAAATCATCGGGTCCTGACGACAGTCTATGAATATTAGCATGTCCTCCGCGATCGTACTCGTACCAACAAGACGCAAGTGGCAAAGAGGCGTGAAAAGGCAAACCCACCTTCTGAGGCGCCGGTGCTCCTTGTCGGCGGGGCTGCGGCCGCGGCGGCGGGCGGCGCTGGCCGCCTGCGACGCGGCCGACGACGTCCCCGCAGCAGCAGTCGCTTCCCTGCTGCCGGACGTCGACGGGCCGGCCAGCTCCAGCCCGACCTCCGGCACCCTCCTGATCTCCTCGTCGCTCTCCATCGCTGCACACACCGCGGTCAGTGAGGATCTTGTTAAACTCAGTCTTGATCGATCTCTCGTGCATGCACGCTAGGCTAGCTGATCTGATCGACGTGAGAGAACTACATAGCTGCACTTCACTTGTATTGTAAAGTTAGACAGGACAAAAAGTCTTTTCCTTCGAAAGAGGAAACCAAAACCGAAGACCAAAGATCCTTTTTCAAACAAAGTGATGAATCAAGAAGAAGCAAACACAGAAGCACATGCATGCTTGAAGAGATTAACTGAATCAGTCGAAACGTAAGCAACTGAAATACGTAAAAAGGGTAAACAGAGAGAGAGAGAGAGAGAGAGAGAGAGAGAGATCGTTATAGAAAAGCAAGTGTTGTGTGCAAGCGCGTGCCTTCCCTGGCCTCCTCCGTCTGCGGCGCTGAGCTGGAGGAGCGCTCGCTGCTGGAGGGCAGCGAGCTCGTCGTCTGAGTCTGATCCTGCATATTCTTGCCTTGCCCTCGGCTGTCGGCTCGTCGGCACACGGCAGTCGTCGGCAGGGGGATAGATTTCTTATTAATTGTGTGCACGTTTCTCTGTCTCCTGAACTTTTATTGGCGCTTTGTGCTTCCTGCCTTCTTCCCCTGCCTCGAGCCCTCGACTTGGAAGGTGTTCGATGAATTTCTGATTATGCTCAACATGGTCGACAGTTTTTTGTCGCAAACATCAAGGATCTTTTACAAACGGACCCTCCTCGTCTCTCATATTTGCGTTCGCGGCTTTGAAATCTACTACTAGTACGAAAGTAAGTAGGATGGCCAGGACATAGAAATTCGACGAGGAAAGAGAGGTTCTGTATGCAAAAGCCCAAAAGGCACTGTCAGGGCGTCCACCGTCCAGTTGAAATCGCGGGGCCCGGGCGGGGGGCGCCCCCAGCCATCCGTCGCCGCCGGATCAAAGGGCCGGGACGCCGGCCACGTCTCGGCGCACGGCGCCACGCGTTAGCGGAAGGTGGCGAGGCGCGCTGCGTGGACGCGCTCCCGGCCCCCCACCCCGCTGCCGCTCGCCGACACGGTGGCCACGGGCGCGTCGGGACCCCGCGCGTCAGCGACGTGGGCGGGGGACGGGCGCTCGCGGGGAGCACCGGCACGAGGCGGGCAGCGGCGCCTCTCGCTGCCGTGCGAAAGCGCGCACCTGTGCGCGTCCCCGTTTTCAATGCGCGCCTTTTTTCGGCGTGCGGCGGTGGCTCGTCGTCAGCCACAACGCGAGACCTCGGCCCCTCGCCGAGGGGGGATGCTGGCATGGCGGGATGGCAGGATGGGGGCTGTTGAATCCGACGGCGGATTTGTGCGCGCTGTCTGCCGGGCTGTCGGCGTCAGGTTAGCTAGTACGCGCCGCAGACCGGTGTGTCATCGCCGGGTTCGTTAGCAACGTCATCACGGCTAAGTTTTGACTGTCGTTGAAAGTTGAGTTAGCTTTATTACATGTCCAGCTACCAATTGACGTCGGTCATACACTCATACCCTCACGCATAAATGCTCATCCACTGGCCTCGTTGCAGACAAGTGGCGAAGCCTCAGCGAAAATTCAAGGGGGCCAATTTGCCAACGGAAATCATATCGACACAGGCCAACAAGGGGCTTCAGGATGCTGTGCGGGTGCCGGGGTTAGGGGCTCGGGGCTGTTACTCGCCGGCGGCTGACCGGTTGCAGATTGCTGTGGTCCGTGGAGTCGTCAGCCCGTCACGCTGCGAGACTCATAAGCGGAGGAACAGGAACAGGAACGAGCGGTGCTACGGCCTGTGGTGACTTTGTGCCATTGAGGAGAGTGACCGTTGGTCTTGGGACCTAACATGGTGACCTATATTGGGCGAAATAGCCTTTGAAGTTCAGAAAACTTAGAGAAGCAAGGGGGGCATGGCCCACTATGGCCCCCATGTAGCTCTGCCGTTGTTGCAGACAGTTTCGACGCGTGCGAACTAGTGATGTTACATGAAAAAAATCAGTGACAGTGAAATAGAGAGGAGACCTATATATGCAACTTGTGTGACAAAATTCTCAGGCAAGATATAAGGGCACCTTAGTTGATTGCTTCGGTACAACAAAAAAATGTTGTATTATATTGTTATCACTACATTTAATAAAGACATACAGCCTATTCGCTTGGTCGTATTTGGCTTATAAGCCATGGCTTATCAGCCAATGAACATTATTTTTCTCTCACACCAAACCTAGCCAGCAGTACTTTCAGCCATGGCTTATCAGCCAAATAAGCCCAAACGAACAGGGCGATAGATTGTTGCTCCCTCCGTTCCAAATTATAAGTCGCTTTGAATTTTTTAGTATATCTATTTTACTATGTATCTAGATAAAATATTATGTCTAGATACATAGCAAAATGAATGAACAAAAAAATCAAAGCGACTTATAATTTGGAACGGTGGAAGTACTTCATATTGATTATTAAAGTAAGTACTTCCTTGGTCTCTCTAATACAAGGTGTGCTATGGACAAAACTTATAGCTGGAATGGAGGGAGTATTGTTTTCCAATATTCTTCTCTTCCACTGTGGTTATTGAGATGTTTATTATAGTGCTTAGAGGGAATAATTAAACAAAATTATCGTTTTGTGCATGCATTATGTTTTGGGGTGCTATAGAAAACAACAATTAGCATGGTGCTTTGGTTCAATCCACTTGGTGGCATGGTATCGCCGTTAGTGGTGGTGCACGAGATGTCGCTGGAGAAGCAATGGAGGCTGTTTGTCAAGCAAGAGTTGTAGCAAGAAGCACAAATAACTGATCTGAAGCAAAGACGAAAAATATGAGAATGGAAGTGAAGAAGCAAGGTTGTTTCTTCCGCTGCTTGTTTTCTTTTCTATGTTTATTTGTCCAGGGTCATGGCGTGGTAGCGGCATGGTAGACACACGAGTTAGGAGGGATCTTTACTAAATAGAAACTGTCAAGCTAATGGTAGTATAGCTATATGACCTATTCGGTCTTTTCCCCACACCTTAGGCCCTGTTTGGCTTACCCCATATTCGGCTTATTCGGATTCTTTCTTCAGCCGGAACAGTGTTTTTCTCTCACAACAATTCAGTCGGAACAGTGTCTTTCAGCCAGTTTCAGCCAAGTTTCAGACCAGCGAACGGGGCCTTAGCTCTGACTAGTGACTTGCGCGTGTTGCAGTCAGGTTTGAGTGACGTTCAATCTATATATGAGCTTGTTTGGTAGGGCTTCAACTTTTGCAAAAACAGCTTCAAGTGGGAGTTTTGTGGTGAAGCAGATCTACATTGGAAGCGTAAAACTATGCCATATATACATGGACTACTAACAGGTTCATCTGAGCCATGGGAGAGGACACATGAGTCTGACGTGCCAAATCGTGCAAGACACAATATTATTACAGACATGCGTTCTTGCCGATGATACTGGAGCCATCCATACACGGGTAAATATTCTTGTTTCGCTGGACAAGCTGGTAGTCGTGGATGGGCACAGCTGTTGTCGGGGCCTGCCTTGGTGGCTCAAGCAAAAGGAGATGCAGCTGCTTATTTGCTACGAGTCCGTCTCAAAATAAGTATTACTGTGGTATTTGTGTTGGTCAAACTTTCTTAAGTTTGATTAGATTTGTAAAAAAAAATAGCAACATTTGTATACATAAAAAAAAGTTTATTATGAAAATAGATTTGACGATCTATCTAGTGATACTAATTATGTATTATAAATATTAATATTTTCTTGTATATAGTTGGTCAACATTTAAAACACTTGACTTCTTAGAAAAGATCAACATTTATTTCAAGATGGATGAAGTACGTGTCCTCTTAAAAAAACCATCTCATTCGTTCACCGGAGCACCCTGCAGCACAGCGGAAAGAAGCATCACGAACTATGGAATAAAAAAATGGTGGAAAACACACAAAAAACTAAAGTCAAAACAATGACCAGTTAGAACCCAGATCTGTTGACCAAGATTTCGAAGACCATGAAAGGCAAAAAAAAAAAAAAAAAAAAAACAAGCATTGAACGGAAACGAAAAGAAGCATGTGCGTGAGAACATAAGAAGACAGGCAGAGGCCACAGGAGCCTGATCCACAGGAGTAGATAAACCCTCAAAGAAAAATTGTATCCCTAAGCCAAGTACAGCATCGGGCGCTAGCAACAAGAAGGCACTGAAAGAAGAGGGAAACAGTTCTCTTTGGCAAGGAGAAGGCCACATCTGGCCTAAAGCATCCACATCTGTCGTCTGCACAGTTCGAATCTCCAAGGGGGGACAAGCAGAGAATAGAAACACGTGAGCGTGAGGAAAGGATAACACGAAGAAACAAATAATAAGCACCCTATATGTTGAGCAGGTCACACGCTCACAGCAGGCCGGAAGTGCGCCCCCTTCCCCCTCGGCCAGTGCAAAAGAGGAAAGAAGAAAAATCGACTCACATCAAAATCAAAAGGAAGCATAGGCACACAAAAAGAAAAAGAAAGCTCAGAGCATCTCCTATAGTTCCCAAAAATCCAATTGGTAAATCAATGAGTTTTCTAAGTAGCTAAAAAAAGTTCAGGAACATATTTGTTGGATTTCTCTAACAATTTTTAAAATCTCGTTCCTAAAATATAGAAGACAATTTTGCATCAGGAATCTCGAACTATTTCTAAATAATCTTAACCACTTTTATGCTTTCTTTGTCTCTTGTAGATCTTCAATAGGAACCTATCCTCCTCTTATTCTTTTTCATGTCCTTCCACCATCAAATTAGCCGATGGATGTGCGCGCATATACCCGCGTGACAAGGTCGATTTTCCGAAGTGCGGAAAGATTGGGAGTTTAGATAGGGTGTTGTTGGGGAGCAGATTTTTTTCAATCTCACCAAAAGTCTAGATTGGAAGTGGAATTTTGAAACTCTTGGAGATGTTCTTAGCCAAATCTGAAACCTCATAGGGGAGGAAAAGAAAACCCAATGTGACGAGAGCAGTAAAGCAAAACGGGTGGAAATGGAAAGGAAAGATCCACCAAGAGGTTGCCCACTGGGCCATG